AGGAGCTGACTGAATTGAGGAACAAATACGCTTTAAAGCAGAAGCATTTGGATGAATCCGTGGCCACTTTCTGGATGCAATTCATACCTGCCACTTACAGCACCATCACCCTGTGTGCAAGGAAGATCTTGACCTGTTTTGGGTCAACCTATGTGTGTGAAAGTGGCTTTTCAACAATGGGAGTAATCAAGTCAAAGCAGCGCAACTCTCTCAGTGACGAGCACCTCTGTGACTGTCTGTTAGCAGCAACATCTACATACCAGCCAGATTTGAGGCGATTAGATGCAGACTTAAGTCTCACATTTGGTAACTAAAAGTGATTTATTCATTTCTGTCTTTTAAGATGAAGCATAATGACGCTGAAACCGACAATAAATGTTACTTGATTTTCATTATTCTTTTGAACTGTATTTACAAAGGAGCTGGATCAAGTTCAGCCTGTCAAGCAAGCATGCACTGGATGTCCTTTTACAATTTATCCCTGAGAGACACTTCTCTTATTTTAAATACTACGTGAATTTGATTTTGTTTTTCCATGTGAAGAAATGTGATACAATGTCCTATTTCCACTAGTGTAATTGTTTTAGATTTGACCTCTTCTGTCAGGGTTGCATATTCATGCACAATTTCTATGAATAATGCACACTTATAAGTAATTTCATTTCATTTAGTTATAGCGCAAGGCTAAATAAAAAAAAGTAGGTCACCTAAAGAGTAATGCTTTTTATGTTTTAGAATTGGTTGATTTTTGACCACAGATGCAGTTTTTTGTGATGCATGTGCAAGAGAAAACTTGTACTTTATTAATATTTTGGAGTTGTAGGCCAAATCATATTTATAAGAAATCTCTTAATTTATTTACTGTTTTTGGAATAAAGCTTACTTCGTTTTCTGATGTAATTTAGTTAATTTCTCAAAAAACATTGCTTGAAAAATCTTTTAAAACTTCGAAACATTACTTTGATTTGTTACAAAAAATAAATGTGCTAATATGCATAATAAGCATATTTACCATTCTGGGATTTACTGCAATGACAGTCATTTTAAGCGCTATGAGATGACTTGTTGTTGTAAATATGCGCTATACAAATAAAATTGAATTGAATTGAATTGAATTGAATTGAATTTTGTGAATAAACCCTTATTTTGCCATTTGATATCTATGACAATCCTTCTATCTAATGACATTTGGTCTGAGGAAAATGCAGGAAACAGCCACAACTAGATCTATAAGGCCAAGTATAATATATTGTCAACAAAATCTCATTTTACTTTCATAAAAGCCTAATGAAATTGTCCTTTTACTGTAGTGCATTTAAAATATTTTGTTATTGAATATTACCTTGATTATTTAAATGTCTTATATCATTCAGTCAGATTAAATTATTCATTTTTAGGTTGCGGCCCATGCAATCACAGATATTTTTCTATGTGGCCCATGAGCAATGGGAAGTTGAGTAGCCCTGTTTGACATCATCTTCAAGAGATTGTCAAAGTGTAACATTTAATGTCAATCTAATTAACAGTTGCTCCAATAGCTGAATAAAAAACAGTCCCAAATGGCAATCTCATGATGAAAGAGGAAAACTTCAAGAATCAGTATTTATCTTCAGGCAACCACCACTGGCTGGATAAAATTTCATAGCAACCATTCTACAACTGTTGAGATATGTAAGTATGCACTGAACTGGTGGGTGGATGGACAGACTGCACAACATTGGCAACACTGATGTGACTTAAAAAAAATACAATTATTATAACAATAACAAGAAGAAGAACATTTTAATTGTTGAACTTCTTTACATTATTTCTACACCAAGAGAACATTTTGTTATATTTGACATCCTAACTGCAATAAGCAAATAATTGCTCTGATAGTAAAAAGAAAAAATCGGTTATCTGTGGCAGCGACATGCCTGTAAAAAGTATGTACAGTGCCGTGAAAAAGTATTTGCACCCTCTTGAATTCTTTTTTTTTCCTTTTAAATATTTCTCCTACTTAAGTGTTTGAGACCATCAAACAAATTTAAACATTTGACAAAGATAACCAAAGTAAACACAAAATGCAGTTTTAAATCATGATGTAATGTTTTACGGGGAAAAAAGCTATCCAAACCTACCGGGCCCTATGTGAAAGAGTAATTGCCCCCCTTGTTAAACATGAATTAACTGTGGCTGATCACATTTGGCTGGGTTCAATTTCACTGACCACACCCAAGCCCGATTACCTCCAGACCTGTTCAATCAAGAAATAACTCAAATAGAACCTGTCTGACAAAATGAAGTTAGCCAGAAGATCTCAAAAAGCTGCAACAAATGACGCGATCCAAAGAAATTCAGGAACATGACAAATACAGGAATTGTCATCTATCAGTCTGGAAAGGGCTACAAAGTTGTTTCTAAAGCTTTAGGTCTCCAGCGAACCATAGTGAGAGCCATTATGCACAAATGGAGAACACATGGAACAGTGGTGAACCTTCCCAGGAGTGGCCAGCCGACCAAAATGACCCCAAGAGCACAGCAACGACTCATCCAGGAGGTCATAAAGAACTGCAGGCCTTCCTTGCCTCAGTTAAGTCAGTATTCATGACTCAACAATAAGAAAGAGACTGGACAAAAATAGTATCCATGGCAGAGTTCCACGGCCAAAACCTCTGCTGACCAAAAAGAACTTTAAGGCTCGTCTTACTTTTGCAAACAAACATCTGAATGATCCCCAAGACTTTTGGGAGAATATTCTATGGACTGACGAGACCAAAGTTGAACTTTTTGGAAGGTGTGTGTCTCGCTACATCTGGTGTAAAAGTTGCAGCATTTCAGAAAAACAACATCATAGCAGCAGTCAGACATGATGGTGGTAGTGTGATGGTCTGGGGCTGCTTTGCTGCTTCAGGACCTGAACGACCTGGACCTGTGATTGATGGAACCATGAATTCTGCTCTCTACCAGAAAATCCTGAAGGAGAATGTTCGGCCATCAGTTCATAACCTCAGGCTGAAGCACACTTGGGTTCTGCAGCAGGACAATGATCCAAAACACACCAGCAAGTCCACTTCTGAATGGCTTAAAAAAAACAAAATGAAGGTTTTGGAGTGGCCTAGTCAAAGTCTGGACTTGAATCCGATTGAAATGCTGTGGTATGACCTTAAAAATGCTGGACAACCCTCCAGTGTAGCTGAATTAAAACTATTCTGCAAAGAAGAGTGGGCCAAAATATCTCCACAGAGATGTGAAAGACTCATAGCCAGTTCTAGAAAACGCTTGTTTTCAGTTGTTCCTGCTGAGGGTGGCCCAACCAGTCATTAGGTTTAGGGGGCAATTACTTTTTCACACAGGGCAAGGTAGCTTTGAATAGTTTTTTTTTCCTTAATAAATAAAATCATTGTTTAAAAACTGCATTTTGTGTTCACTTTGGTTATCTTTGTCTGATATTTACATGTGTTTGATGATCTTAAACATTAAAGTGGGGGAAATATGCAAAGAAATAAAAAAGAATTTGAGAAGAGGGCAAATACTTCTTCATGGCACTGTGTATCATTGATTCCACCAGATGACTGGATGAACCTACTTGTCCGTCCACCTGCAAAGCTGCCTATATGTACATGCCTATGTACTCACTGGAAGTATACACTCTTTCATGCAGTATGCGTACAATGGGACACACTACTTCTTCACAGTGTTGCCCCTTAAATTGTGACCATTGCAGTCTGTCATGTACAATGAGTCGCCTTCTATCTGTGCGCTCTTGGCAGCTGACACCGAGACATAAGCGACATAACTGAGTGATGGACTGTGGGTTGGAATGGCCAGAAAGCATGATGGCTTGGATATTGCAAAATCCAACCACATGTTGTAGGACATAAATTAAGGTTTTGTGGGTATTGGAACAGCTGCAAGGTGGCACAGTTGGTAGCACTGTTGCTTCGCAGCAAGAAGGTCACCAGTT